ACAGAATGGTACCTCTCAACAACAACAGAAATCTCAGCTACCTAACCCCTTTGAACTTGACGACTATCATATTCTCAACAAAGTTTATCTCACTCATGTCAATGATGATGAGAAATATGATAAGGATCTAATTTTCAACCTTGTCTCCACCATCATCTCTGCTTCTTCTGCTCAAATTTCTGCAACTAATCATGTATTATACGTAATTAATTAACATGTCATTAAGTTTTGCTACTTCATATTATACATTGTACAACTGAACTAACATTTTAAATTTTTTGTTTTCAGACTCAGATTTCTTTCAAACCAGACTTCCCTGCCTTGAAGAGGATTTCTTGTCAGGTTTATCAATTATGTTCCTCGTTTCTGTGTATTGCTTCTTTATTCTTTTAAATCGGATTGCTGATGATGGCATGTATCAGATGATAATGACACGTGGCACGGCACAATGTGCACACCAAACAACAATGTGGATTCTTCAGCATCTCAGAGGCTTCTCATGGGATGCAAAAGCATTGATAACTCTAGCTGCATTCACTTTGGAGTATGGTGAATTCATGCACCTTTATAGGATTCAATCATCAGACACTTTGGAAAACTCATTGAAGCAACTTAACCAAGTCCAATTTAGAAAGGTTCCTTCTGATATCACAGACATTGTCGCTTTTTTACTGCAAGTGTTCCAACACATTATACAATGGGCAACATGGTCTGCTATGGGTTATGATTTAGAGGAAGTCCATTCATTGTCTGACGCAATGCAAGAGATTCCTCTTGTTGTGTATTGGATTGTTGCTACCGTTGTTGCTTGCTCCGGCAACCTCGTCGGTATATCGTAAGTTATCAACTTAAAATAACAGTAAAATGTTGAATTTTCAACAGTGTGTAAATGATAACTTTTTTGCTTTCAGGGAGCATATATTATCAGATTATAGAAAAAGGCTTTCCGGTGTGGTTATGAGGTTGAAGAATCATCTGGAAAATTCCAAAGTGCAAATTGGTACAAAATTAACTACATACATGTGTTATTTGGTTACTTTTATACTTCAAATTAAATAGCTATATAGCTAAAGACAACCTCTGACTTAACAAACCAATTATCAGTTAATTAATGCTAAAGAACTAGTCTAACGATATTATCTCCTACTACTTTTCCAGAGAGGATAGACGATTATTATAGACGTTTGAAAGAGTCTGAAAATATTAAAGGTGTTGTTGGTTTCTTGAGGCTTCTGATACAAGGCAATGGTTCTGATCAAATACCACTAATATATAAAGGCAACCTCCAAGTTAGAACGGTTAGCGCTAAAATAATTTTTATTTATTTATTTTACAATGTATTTTAGCAAAATGTACTTCCTATAAATGTCTCAATTTTTGTTAAATAACTCACCACCTTCTAGAACACATAAATACATACATACATTACTAAATGATTATGTTTAATTTTTTTTTTTTAATTTTACCAAACAGGGTCTTGAAGTCTTCAAGAAGAACTATGTGTTGCTGTTCATTTCGGGTCTAGACAGCATTGGAGATGAGATTTTGCTGTTAAATTCAGTCTATAACAGATTGCAGGATAATCCGCAAGAAGTGATAAAAGGTTTCAAGAAAGAGGATTTCAAGATTTTTTGGATTCCCATTGTTGATATGTGGGATGAAGCTGCCAAGAATCAATTCAGAATTTTGAAAGAAAGCATGAAATGGTATGTGTTAGATCACCTGATTCTTACATGAAATTTGGTTCCTGTCTTGAATAATTTTGTATTTTTTTATTCATAATATTATTTTTGCAGGTATGTGTTGGAATATTTCTCTGAGCTACCGGGACTTGGGATTATCAAGAGCAGATTGAATTATGTGGATAATAAGCCTATTGTGTCAGTGGTCAACCCTCAAGGTGAAATAATGAATGAGAATGCAATGGAAATCATTTTTCAATGGGGATTTGATGCTTTTCCTTTTAGGAAAATTGATGGTGACGATCTCTTTAAGAAATGGGCTTGGTTTTGGAATTTAATGAAGAAAGTTGATATCAACATAGAGGACATGAAAAGGGATAGTTATGTATTCATCTATGGAGGAAACGACCCTAAGTGGATACAAGACTTCACAAGAGCAATAGGAAACATTCAAAAAAATCAAAGCATCAAGAATGTGGACATTAACATAGATTACTACCAATTAGGAAAACAAAACCCGGCAAAGATTCCTTACTTTTGGATTGGCATAGATGGAAGAAAACAGAACAAAATATGTCATGACAGAGTAGACTGCGAAATACAAGAGGCAGTAAAAAGCTTACTATGCCTCAAGCAAGACCCGCTAGGATGGGTTCTTCTTAGTAAAGGTTATCATGTTACACTTTTGGGTCATGGTGAACCTATGTATCAAACTGTGGCTGATTTTGAGAAGTGGAAAGACAATGTGGTTGAGAAAGAAAGCTTTGACATCGCTTTTAAAGAGTATTATAATACTAAGCTGAAAGAGATATCTTCTAGTGCTTCTTGTGCTGTTAATTCTTCAGATGTTCTTGCTACTATAACTTGTCCTAATCCTACTTGTGGACGTGTGATGGAGGTGACTTCTGTTAATTACAAGTGTTGTCATCGTGATGATCCAAATAGTTGCTGCATTTGATTTATGTGAAGGAAGAATTAAGGATCTATCTATGATCCAAACAGTTTGATTTGCTTTATGAGCACGAAGTTTGAAGTTTAAATTCATGTTTCGTTTGTTTAATTTTGATATGCACATGTTTGTATGTTTTGATATGCACATGTTTGTGTGTTTTGTTCCAGACGAATTTATGTTGTGTTAGCCCGTTTGTTCCCCCATGTTGAATGGGTTGAAACTGAATAATGGCTTTAATTCGTCTGTATGTTACTGAATTTCTTGTAATTGAATCAAAAGTTGTGCTTACACCCGTGTTTTGATACTCATACTTTTTCTAAACAAATCTTAGTGGATTATATTTGTTTTTTATTTGAACTCTTGAGCTACTGGTTACTGTGTGAATTCTTATCATTCACAACAAAAAATGTTGTAAAAGTAGAAATATAGATATGTAGAAGCAGAATTATTAAACCAAATATATGCATGCTCAATGAGCTTCTTATTTATGAGGAAACAAGAGTAATCGACTCATAAACTGAGACAACAGGTAAAAATTGTTTCACTGAGTATGCTGATTATTGCTATTAAAAAAGATACATCAATATTCAAGAGTATGGTTTTATAATTTATACTAATTTGTTAAGCGTGCAATTTTTAGCTCAATAAATCAAACTTAACCTCTTCTACATGTCATGACAGACCTGAAATGCAGATTTAGCACCATGTTGATTGTCGAAGAAAACAATTGATTTGTCGATCTTGGCAAGCTCTTGCAAGAGGATTGCTGTGTTTCCTACCTTGTTAACTTCTCCATCCAATGCGACTTATTAACTTCTCCATCCACTATTATTTCTCCTACTTATTGTGTTCGATTACCCGACCTATAATTTAAAATTAATCACATAAGAGACATACTTAATACAAAGATTATAATTATAATAATTTTTATACAAAAATCAAATAAACATATGAACATGTATATAAACAACTTAAGAATTTATGGTAGTGCTCACTTATCAAAGTCCTCTACATATACCGTAAGAAAATCACTATAAGCCAACAAACATGATTGTCCACCACAAGTAGTCCGCTAAAACCGTTGCGCCGTGCAATGGCCTATGTTGGCGTTTGATCTAAAGTCGCCTCTACTCTAGAGTCATTTGACCTAAAGAAAGAAATCTCTACATATTGCTGCATTGTATAATAGTTGCGGGTGATTTAGATCCAAAACAAAATTTCATAATAATACTATACCACCTACTCTGGTTTTTTATCCTTAGGTGCCATAATTCCTAGCCCTGGCCCCTAGCCATACTATCTTTTTGTATTTTTTAAAAACAAATAGATACTCATATATTGTTCAGAGTAGAAGGGATACTCAATCCTTATACAAGACATTGGCACTAAAGATTAGAAGGAAAATACAAGATTACTAAAACATCCCCAATTTTAGTAGAAAATTGACCATCCATAAGATTAATACAGTTATGGAACCATTCTATCTAAAGAACTTTATGAAAGCCAAAAAGCCAATAATAATAATGGTTCTTTGCTTTTCCATGTATGAATTCTTGAGTAAGGATGTCCATTGGCAACATGCACAGAAGAAAGATGCCAAAGAGAGTAAGAAACTTTTATAACAGAGTTTTAACTGTTGAAATGAATCAACAAAATTTGGCTCAAATTAATTGAGTTTCAATGTGTATATTTTGAATACCAAGAATAGTTAAGTGTATAAATATGTTATGGTCCCTTGTCTTGGATCGTGTTGACACAGTCCTTGTAGGTGGGTACATTTTGTAAATAAGAATTTGAGTCAATGACATATACTTCTTCCATTACCATGGTAACCTATTGTGAGATTTATTTTAAGGTGTTTCATTCAATCAACTCCAACATAACATGATTAAAGGCATGCTAAGATTTCTGACATGAAATATCTTTATTGATCAGTAACATTGAGGAATATATCATTGTTCTTTCCTTGAGGATATAATAACATTTTATTCAGCTATTTGATTTTCCTTTTTCCTATTAGAATTTAGAACAGTGGAATGAAACTATCTTTTACAAAAGTATGGTAAAATCCCAAGAAAAAGACAGTGGTATCCTAAGCATTCTTACATGCCTAATGAAGCCTATAAGGGGAATGTTGGGAAAATCATATCAGAGTGGTACATTTCACGCCTAAAGAAGGCCCCATCAGAAGCTACTTAGTATATTTTATCTTTTTATTCAAGTAAACACATATTTTATATACTAAAGTAGTTATGCCAAGTGTAAACTCTAATGACCTCTGGAGGCTATAAATATGTAGAAGAACCAATCCACAACACAATGCTCTCTTTGCTTATTCAAAAGAAGTTAAAGTTGAATTTCTCATCATGTCACTGTCCAATGGAGCTAAACTTCCAAACCCATTTGATCTGAATGACTCTCAAATCCTGGATAAAGTTTATCTGACCCACCTCCATGATGATGACAAATGTGATAAAGAAGTCCTTTTCCATATTGTATCCAATGTTATACTTAGGGTAAATTCACCTTCTCGCATTCATTTTTTCACTGATACATATTGTTGATAATTAATTATTTCTCTTTCTATATGTAAGTTTATTTATAGCATCACTTTCTCAATGTACTGATATCTAAGTGTTCTATATCTTTGCCTTAAAAAAAAGTATTCAATATATTTATTACATATTATAGAAAATGGCATATGTTTACACAACGACAAGTTCTACTGTGAAACACAGCAGACCAGTACTTAAAAATTGTCTGAAATTCCAGCGATGACTACCGGAAAGCATGTCCTTGGAAGACAATTTCCTATAAAAAAAGATTTAGAGCACTAACATATTTATTGGTTTACCTTGTGAATCACAGACAAGGCTAGCAGAAACTAGAGCTGGTGTAACAGGTTTCCAACCAGAATTCCGCACACTGAAGCTGATTTCTTGTCAGGTTATTTGATGGCATAATGAAATTTATTCCGTACTTTATTTCTGTATTAATATTAAATTATATTAAATGCTTCATGCTTTATTCTGCTCCAAAATGGGGGAGACGTTGTATCATGATGTTGTGTGTGCAGTGTCCTTCAAAATACTAATTTTATAAACCTCTTCGATAATTTTCACATACATTAAGAACTTTTTTAGTATCCTCTATATTGACTAGTACTAAATTTCCATTTGTAATATATATAACAGATGATAACAACGCCTCGTGGCGAACGTTATGTACACCAAACAACAATGTGGATTCTTCAATACCTGAAAACGTATTCATGGGATGCAAAAGCACTTGTTACTCTAGCTGCTTTCACTTTGGAATATGGAAACCTTTTGTACCTCACTGATACTTCAACTTCAGATCAACAACTTGTTAACACTTTGAAACGGCTGAATCAAATTCAAAACAGAAAGATCACTGTTCCTGTTACAGATTTGGTGGACTTGATAATGGAAGTGTTTCTGCATATTCATGAGTGGGCCACTTGGTCTAGTGTTGGTTATGATACTCTTGAAGTTCCTTCTTTGTCTGATGCATCGGAAGATATCCCTGTTGCTGTTTATTGGATAATTGCTTCCATTGTTGCTGCTACTGGCAACATCGTTGGTGTATCGTAAGTTATTTTTAGGTTTCACTTTGATCTCTTAAATTTTTTTCGTTCCAATTTGATCCCTTTCTATTGGTTTTTCATTTGAGTTCACCGTACATGAACGGAGAAGTTAAATTTTTTATAATATAATCTTTAGCATACATTTGTATTAATTGCATATCTTTTTGTGTTTTTGTTTAGGGACTACGCGTTATCGAATTTTAAAGACAGGCTTTCTTTGGTTGATTCTAAATTGAAGGAACATCTGAAACTGAGCAAAGGACAAATAGGTGACACATTTAATTAGCTCTTAGTTTTGTGTATGTTAGGAAGCAAAGTTATTTCCAATCCTTTGGATGAACAGAGTTAAGTGTTACGTCCATATTTCTTGCAGATACTGTAGAAGAATACTTGAAGCGCAAGAAAGCAATTTCAAACCCTAAAGATATTGTAGATTTCTTGAAGCTTTTGATCCAACGCAATGGAGATAATCTTCTAATATATGATGGCAACACCAAAACTAAAACTGTTAGTACTAAAGCCTCAACTATTTTCTATTGTTAAATGATATATTTAACTCAATTACTTGTTCTTTTGTTTTTATGTGTCAAACAGGATATTGAAGTGTTCAGAGAGAAATATGTGTTATTGTTCATTTCAAGCCTCAACAAAGTTGAAGATGAGATTCTGCTTTTGAATTCTATCTATGACAGATTGCATGACAATCCACAAGAAATAGTGAAAGGTTACAAAAAAGATGATTTCAAGATTTTGTGGATCCCCATCTACAGTGACGACCAGACTATCAAGTTTGATCTTCTGAAGAACAAAATCAAATTTTATGCAGTAGAGAACTTCTCTAGATTACCAGGCATTGGACTCATACGAGAGAAGTTGAATTATTGGGATAAGCCTATTGTTCCAGTGTTGAGCCCTCTGGGTGAAATAATGAATGATGATGCAATGGACTTGATTTTTCAATGGGGAATAGATGCATTCCCTTTTAGGAAAAAGGATGGTTATGATCTTACTCAAAAATGGAAGTGGTTTTGGGACGCTACAAAGAGAGTCAATCTTGGAATACAGGTAAATCAATACAACATTATATGCACATACAACTTGGAAGTTGGAATGCATAATTTGTTTTTGTTGTTGTGGCAATTCAACTTTGTTATCTTACTAATATTACTTTTTACTATTTAATAATAGATATTGATGTGAAACTATATGATTTACATGTGAGTTATTAGGTGAAAGGTGACAGATACATCTTCATCTATGGAGGTGGTGACAAAAAATGGATCCAAGACTTCACATTAGCATTGGAGAAAACAAAAAAGCATGAAACTATCATAAGGGCAGATGCTATAATAGAACACTATCATTTGGGAAAAGATGAGGCCAAGATTGTTCCTCGTTTTTGGATAGAAATAGAAAGCAAGAGACTTAAAAAGCACCAAGATGGTCTAGACTGTGAGATTCAAGATATAGTGAAGAGCTTGCTATGTCTGAAGCAAGATCCACAAGGTTGGGCTATTTTGAGTAAAGGATACAATGTTAAGGTTTTGGGTCATGGGGAACCTATGTATCAAACATTGGCTGACTTTGATATATGGAAAGATAAAGTGCTTCAAAAAGAAGGGTTTGATATTGCTTTCAAAGAATATTATGAGACAAAGGTTAAAGATACAAATGTTCGGCAGCCATGTGAAATGATCAATGTTGATAATAATAATATTAATGGGAATGTTATAGCTACCATATCATGCCCAAATCCAACTTGTGGGCGTGTGATGGAGGTGTCGTCAGTTAACTACAAGTGCTGCCACCGTGATGATGCTCCACAGAATGGCGAGATCTGAATTTGAAAGAGGGAAGAAGAGTTTGTTAGTTGGTCCTATTTATAAATTTGAGGTTTTTGAATTGTTGTTATTATTTATTATATATTCATGTGTTTGTGAATGAAGATGAAAGCTTGGTTCTATGTAACCATATTGTTTACCCTTGATGAAAGGGTATAGAATAAATAATAACGGCTTCACTTCATCTTCATCTTCGGTGTTTATTACAAAATTGAATAAATAGTTTGCATGCACATAAAATGTGTGTGCAATTCTGTTTTGTTTCACTCTCTTTTAGTTACTGTGACATTTTATTGGGTTTAGATTCGTATGGAGGTGTCATCTATTTTGTTTCACTCTCTTTTCAGTAAAAATATCGGTATATTCTAACCTTGGCTGAGAAAAACTTAGAGAAAAATGGGATTGTAGCTGTTGTGGCAGTGAACCACTGAGCTTTCAGCGCCATCTCCGTGGCTTGCTGCTCCTTCATTTGTGTTTCTCGCCGCCACCATCTCCCTCCAATCTTTCAAATTTCATCGATGTTTCCAAATTTCTTGGCTTGCAATAAAATGGTGTTATTTTGAAGTCTATTTAATCTACATTTTAAATCGTCCACCAAAATAATTCTTTCAAATTTTAGAACATTCTCACGGATTTTATAAACATATTTTAGGAGGTATATTAAAATTACACTGAAATCCTCTATAATTTTAAAAGATTCATGATTGTCTATTTAAATAGGACAATATATTAATTTTTATTCCTTAATTATATTATGAGGTTCATTTGGGTACCCTAATTAATTTTTTTTTCTCATTTTAGTCCTTTAATTTTGTAAATAATGTATATGAGGCTTTTTCGTCTATTTCTTCAAATGTCTGTTTATTTTATCTACGTTGAAGCTGAGTTGATATTGTCCTTATTAATTAATTTCATTTGCATCATCGTTTTATTTTTCATTGTGCATCTTCTTTTTCAATTCTTCCTTTCATCTTGTTCACTGTTCATTGTTTTCATCTTGTTCATTGTGCATCATTTTCGTTTTCATTAGCATCGTGATCATTATATGGGTTTTCTTCGAATCATGAGGTCATCCCAATGTTCTTCATTTCTGAAGCAGAATAACTCTGGAAGTTGTGAATCCAGTGTATACACGAACTCGCCATGGGTACCAAAATGTCATTGTGGGGACTAAGTTGTGATTCGTAGGCCAACATTCGATAAGAATTATGGAAAAAAATCGGGATTGTCTAAATTTTAAGGTAAGCCCTAATTTAAGTTTGATGTATTTTCAAATGTGATTCTAGTATATGTCCATATTTTAAGGTAAGCCCTAATTTCAATTTGATGTCCAATTTTCAAGGATCCTTGCAAAGAGAGTCTGGTTTTTTCAATTTATTTCATGAGGATTTGGGAGATGAGAATGGGCATTTCATCATGAATAGATTGAAAAGCATAGCAAAGGAAACTGATGATGCAAAAAAAAGCATTTGAAAAAGTCAGGGTGACAAATGAAGAATTAGGGAATGTTGTGATGGAACTTCAAACTCAAGTGAACAAGATCTTGAAGTGGAAAAAAACATGGAATATTATGTTTCTTGTAATCTTATGTGCATTGTTATTTAGGATGTTCAGTATGGCTAAGGATGTATTAGTTTGTATGAATTTGCAATATCATTATTTAATATGAATTCAGTTAATATTAATTGGTTTGTTTGACAGCCTATTGTTTGTTACAGCTCACATAACATGAATTCTTGTTTTGATTTGCATTACACATAAATTGATTTGCTTAAAACGCTAAATAATTTCAAAATGATATTGCATAACACAAGATGTTTCTAAAATGACATTGCAGAACACACTACATAATTCCAAATGTTTTCAAAAGGTTCTAAATTGACATTGACATGTCACATAAACATGTTCAAGATACATGACATAATATCAAAAGTACTCAAAATGCATTAACTAGACAATGACTAAATAACACTAGATGTTCTTCTTAGGTGTGATTCTCTTGGTTGGAGTAGACCTCTTAGTTATTGGGCCTACTACATTCTTGGTTGTAGATAATCTTGTTGTTGGTCCTGGGGGCACAAATGGTCTTCTTACACCTAATTTTTGTATCTTGCCATTTTCTTCAGTAGCACTGCCTTGGGTTGGGGTTCCTTGAGCTGCACTGTCTTGAGTAGCTGACATTTTCCCTTGAGTTGATTGACTTGCCTTGCCCTGAGATGACTTAGCTGGTTGAGTAGCTGGAATTTTCCCTTGAGATGACTGACTTGCCTTACCCTGAGATGACTTAGCTGACCTTTTCCCTTGAGATGACTGAGTTGGTTGGCTTGCATTGACCTGAGATGGTTGGCTTGCACTTCCCTGAGATGGTTGGCATGTTGGTGTAACCTTACAAGTCAATTTGTTGCGTCCTTCTTTTTTGCACCTACCGTGTTTAACTGATCAATCATATTCCCCTCATCTCTCTTTCCCAAGCTTGTGGGAATGTTGACTTCGTAGCCCTCCGTATAATTTCCTTCAACATATTTCCAGGATACTTCTTCCTGAAATTGTTATACAAATGCCTCACATAGAAGCTTTGTTCAACATTAGGCAAAAGGTCATTCAATGCAGGTAAGAGACCCTGCAAAACATCAGGAAAAACAGAAAGTTAGCAATGTTACATAACATGAAATATAATGTAATAAAAAGAGGAAACAATTAAGTTTATATACCTTTTGTTGGTCTGAAATGAATGTGTATGAGAGGCATTCATTTCTACCACCTAATTCATTAATTAGCAGCTCCAAGAACCATATCCAGATATCCCTATTTTCACCCTCTACAACAACAAATGTTATAAGAAGCATCTGGTCATTAGGATCCCTACCTATTGCTTCCAGAATTTGTCCTCCACAAAGCCTCTTAAAAAAGAATCCATCCATACATATGTCATGTCTATATAATTTGAAGCTCTCTTTACATGCCGCATAGCATATGTACAACCTTCTAAAAAAGGGTCTTTGATCCTCAACACCTTCTTGAACAGGTTCCACATTTAGCTTAACTGTTGAACTTGGATTAGATCTTAAAAGCTCATGACAATAGTCATAGATTCTAGTGTAATCTCCCAAGAAAGAACCATCAACCCTATCCTTAGCAACAAGTCTTTCTCTGATTACTTTAGTCTTGTTTACCCCTACATTTCACTTCTTCAAAGCCTTTTGCTTGATATCCTTTACCTTCATCCTCTGATTTTTTTTAAGGAATTATGAATTCTCTTGCTCAACCACTGTGTATTCATCACCTTCACATTAAACTCTCTGCTACAACTATGTTTGTCAATTACTAAAAATTGGGTACTTCTTCCACACTAGCATTACCAACATTCAACTCATCTACAATGTCATTATGCAGTTTATAAAGCAAATATTCCACCTCATCTACAATGTTATCAGGACCCTCTCCAACATCATCAACAACACCATCACAATAATCATGTTGAGATAAAGTGTGTTGAATGTAAATATCAACACTTTGGTGCACCCTACAAAAGATCTGCATTTTCTAAAGCACGTTTGTCATCAACAAAAGCATTCATCCCAAATGTAGGATCCTTGTAATATATTGTCTCAAAGTACCTATAACCTAACTCTTTCAATACACCAACTAACTCGAAATAACTCTACTTATCAACATCTGTTTTCAAATCATCTATTAGTCCTCCTTCATACGCGTTTAGTTCAGGATCAACAAATTCACCACTGTGATGAATTTTGAGTTTCATAAATTCCTCTATTTTCCCTTATATTCAATTTCAAATACAGTACGTCAAAGCCCTAAAACATGAAAATCCCTAAATCTACAAATAAACCATAAATCTACAAATCTACAGAAAAACCCCTAATTCTACATATTTATAAAAAAAAATCCTAAATCAATGAAAACATACAACTAATACTTACTTATTAGCAAATTTTCATCAGCTACTTAAATTCGTCTTCAATTTCCTCAGAGTTCGCTTGCTTTTGCCAACTGCTTGGAGTTTGTTTTCAATCGCCTCAGAGTTTGTCTTCGTGCATCTTTGATGTTTGTGTTCCTTCATTAACAATTCCTTCATACTATATTATCATATACACGTCTACATAACGTTTCAGAAACTAATGTGAGTCACATATCCACCTCATCTAGCAACATGCCACTTGGAATCTATTTTTGAATTTGACTAACCTCCACTAATAGAAGGACAAACGTAGCAAGGTTTCAAAACTTAAAGGACCAAAGTGACATAAAAAATAATTAAGGGACCCAATTGAACTTGATGGCATAGTTAAGGGACCAAAAAAGGTATTTTGTCATTTAAATAACGTTGATATCCCTTTTAGTTTTTAATAATAGTCAAAGAGTAAAAAAAATGTAAGTATAAATGATATATACCTATGAAATTCCTGTTAGTATATGTATACTTAAGAGAGATTAATGCATATTTTATCACTAAATAAAATGTCCGTGTCATTTTAATAGACCATATGGGAGGTGAAAGTAATTTTCACTATTTTAAAAGATTTGTAATAAAATTAATCAAAGGTAATACACTATGAGAGTACAGATGAATAAGAGAAAACAATGAGACAAAGTAATATGGTATTCTTCTACTTAAGTCTTATTAACATTGCAACATGGATCATATTTATATTACATGACCAATAACAACAATTAATTCATGGGAGTTAAGGAATATAGAAAGATTGGGAAAATGGACATCCAAAAATATATTAATATTATTCATAACACTTTCCCTTGAATGTCCATTAAGAATATGCCTCATTAAAATCTTACTAGAAAAAAATTCAACAAAAAAAATCTAATCAAGGAAAAAGAGTACAATATCCTTTTAACATGAATTTATTTCTTCCCTTCAGCTGAACGATTATTTCTTCAATGACGAAGATCAATCTTTTGCAGTAGTTGGTTAAAAGTTCTACTAGGGAGTGCCTTTGTGAAAATGTATGCAACATTATCAC